ATAATTTTTGTCATTTTTGGTAAAAAGTGATATTTTCGACTTCTTGTTAAAAACCAAAAGTTCAATTGCTTTGATATTACATATATAGATACTACATGTAGACCTTTCTCAGATTTGTTCATTTCGTGATGATATCTTAAATTCTCTAATTTTGGTGAATATTTTTGTCATTTTTGGTAGAAAGGGATATTTTCGACTTCTTGTTAAAAACTGTAAGTTCGATTGCTTTGATACTATACATATTGTTCATTTTCTAATGATGTCTTCAGTTCTTTAATTGAAATGTGCATTGCTAACAGCGGAGCTATCTCAGCCGATAGGCTGATATTAGTCAGTTGCCCTAAAAATAGTGGTCGTATCGTATAATTGGTGAAATATTTGCATTTTTTTATAATCTCTTTGTTAATTTTTTACCAAATTTACATAGCAGTCTTGTTCCAAGCAGACTAACCCATCTCATAAAAAATAAAACAATACAGGACAACAAAAATTATGTCTTAATATTACTTCAGTGGACTCCTCAAATATTTTATGAATAATTCAGATTTGGGTGAAAGAGTTGAATGGAGAATAAATTTATATTCTTCTATATTGCTAATGACCTGATGTATCAGTTAATGATATTTAGTGTGTCCGCCCAAAGACATAAAGTATATACTTTCCACTCTCTGGGCTTTCACTAGTGGGAGATGGAGCATCCAGTATGAGAGAACCCGAACCTGTTTTTCCTTCAGTGTTTTTCCTGTGTTTTTAGTGCACATAAAAAAAAAACATACCGGTAATGTCCTTGTCGCAATGAATAGGAGGATGACTGGAACTTGTTCTCATTCCTGATTTGTAAGTGGGTTTTGCTCGTTGTTCTGAATTTTAATAAACAAATATCAACAGCTGTGATGATAAAATAAAACACAGTGATTTGACGTAGTCATCAATTTATACTTCTGTTGTGTTACAGACAAATCATGAAACAAGTCCTTGAAGCGGTTGAGTACTTTCATGACATGAACATTGTGCACAGAGACTTGAAGGTGAGAAGCTATGCAACAAATTGTTGCTGTGTGCTGTACTAGATTCTTGGCACGTACTAACGTGAGTGAACGTAATTCCTCACTCGTTAACTATCTTATGTAGTGTACTGTATTTGGTCTAATAGCGCACATCCTCACCTAAATCACCGCAGTGTGTCTATGGTCAAAGTAGGTCATATTTTAAGGAGCCAGCATACAGTCAATGCAATTTTTGGTTTATATGTACTACTATTAGAGATGCACTGCTAATAAAGCAAATACAGTATACTGATACCCTTGATGTAGTCCAATTTCCCCCACTTCCATGGCAAGTCAAAAACAATTCCTTAACTTCCCTGGATTAAATTCGGGAATGCTGATCTGCAAAAGACTCGATATCTAGTGGATTGTAGAAAGAATTTAAGATTTGAATAAACATCTATTTATCACATTCTGCTTTGAAACCCCTTTCATTGTACTAGATTACATAGATGGTAGTAGTGTGTATACTTGAAAACTGTGATTATATAATAAAACAAGTCATTTTGTCTCAATTTCAGCCTGAAAATATACTTCTAGATGAATATATGGATGTTAAAATCACAGATTTTGGGTTTTCTGTGCAGCTCGAACCTGGGGAGTTACTGACTGGTGAGTTTAGTGACTTTGCAATCCTGTTTATCATGTACTCTATCATCTCATTTATCATTGGCCCAGTCTTGTTACAGTGCTAGTTTAGTCTGGTTACAGTGCTAATGCAATTTGGTGACAACTTTAATTCAGTCTGGTTACAGTACAAGTTCAGTCTGGTTACAGTGCTAGTCCAGTCTGGTGACAGCACTAGTCCAGTCTGGTGACAGCATCAGTCCAGTCTGGTGACAGTATTGCCTAGTATGATTAATATTACTATTTCTTTGTCATATTAGATCTATGTGGTACCCCAGGATATCTCTCTCCTGAAACGTTACGCTGTAATATGAACATGGGAGTGGATGGATATTCCAAAGAAGTAGATTTGTGGGCATGTGGTGTTATTATGTACACATTGTGAGTACCTTGCACCCCTATTATTAATGGTATACCCCACTGTTGGTCAATTCAGTACTGTTGAAGGAGGTGGCAGTTACTTTATCGTCCAAACCCAAATCATGGTTAATGATTTTAATCCTGGTTTTGTAGTCACTCCAAAATCATGTAAAATGGGCTTTTTATTTTATAACTGACTTCTAACATGGCAGCAAGCATCAAGAATTTTCTCAATTTAGTCTGTGTGTTTGTGACAAACAAAGTTTCCCATCATTCTTAAATAGCCTAATATGTGGCTGAGAATGGAAGGTTATTAGCTAGCATAGGAATCAATGTTTGCTAGTTCCAGTTGCCAACAAAATATGAAAATATGCTTTACGACACTATTCAACGCTGGTGACTAGTTAGATCTTGAATACATTTCCAGGTTTGTTTTTTGTTTTTTGTAAATTGTCCCTGTATGCTTTAAATCAGTTTGTGCTTGTATTTTTTCTGGTCCATAGATTGGTAGGGTCACCGCCATTTTGGCATCGTCGACAAATGGTAATGCTACGTGCAATCATGGATGGACGCTACCAGTTTGGTAGTCCGGAATGGGACGACATTAGTGACTTGGCAAAAGATCTTGTAAGTGGATGTTTCTTTTTTACTTTGATTTGATTATGTTAGCACATACGTGTCATTGCAAACTATTTCCCGTTTCCGCAATCCGATGATTTAATAGCATTCATGAGAACAAAGTTCCGGGAAAGTCTGCGTCTTCTGAACTCCAGTGAAATTTCTACTGCTTGCAAACCTTCATAATTTTCACAGACTCATGAAACATTGTTTCTCCAAAAATTTAAACTGTTTTGTCTTCAGTTACCACTAATTGTACACTAGTCTGAAATGATTTATTTTCATTTTTTGGCTTGAAGGAAAGTCATAGTAGTGGCAAAATGTCTGTCAACCGTCTGTCGTCATCGTAAACTTTTCTAGATTTAGCAACGGCTATCCTGCTTTCAAAGCCAATGAAGATACCATACCAATAATACAACCAAGTATTATTTTGAACAAAAATAACCTAAAATAATGGTTATTGTGGATTAGTTTCTAATTATTTTCATCAATTCACCAAGTGGTGAGATAGTGTAAACTATTATTTTACAAAAGTGCATTATTTCATAATTTACATAAATCACTTATGTGTGAATTCTTCACAGCTACATTATTTTACAGACTCGCTAAAGTTAAGTGGTTTGTTTTATTTTTCAGATTTCTAAATTATTAGTAGTTAATCCTAAAACCAGACTCACAGCAAATCAAGCTCTTCAACATCCATATTTTAGCAGAGGAGAAGCTCAGATTGTTACTTCATTTGTACCTCTCAGAAAATTTAAGGTATCGTACTTAAGCTACATATAGTTTCTTAAAACTACTGTAAAATACTTTATTTTCACTGCAATTTATTTTCGCTGAAAAGACTTTTTAGGTGTGTTATATCCGATTTATTTCCACTGATTTTTGGCGAGTTGAATATAAAAGATAGGAAAAAAGGTATATTCGCTTGATTTTATTTTCACTGAATTCCTGAACTAATTCCTTCAGCGAAAATAGCAAAAATTAATTCCAAGCGAAAATAAAGTATTCCACAGTAGTTGATCCTTGTTTAGTTTCATCAAACTAGGGGGTTCTTTCTATGGATTCATTCAACTAGGGGGTTCTTTATATAGTTTCATCAAACTTGGGAGTACACCTGGGAACATAGAATTTTTGTATTATTTTTCTTCTGCATGCAGCCATTTTAAGCAAATAAGTGGGAGGTAATGTCGTACTGATGTCTGTCTGTTAGCTAATGTGCATGCTAATTAACTTTTTTTTGTCTTCTGAAGACAGTAGTTTGCTCAAATGGGTTGAAATTTTAAGTTGGTTGAGTGTCAACCACTACGTAGAAAATAATGTCTGCATAATAATTAGCTAATTTGCCTACAAATTAAGTTTTCATCTGTTCATGTCTAGTAATGATCATAAACTTGATATCAAGTAATATTACACAACTTTGAATGTTTTGATTCGTTTTGCAGGCTGCAATACATATAGTACGAAGCATTTACAGACTTCAGCACTGGACAGGTCATCGTCCGATATCACTGAAAGAGGTACAAAAAGACCCCTACCGAATAAAAGATATCAGAAAAGCTATTGACGCGTGTGCTTTCAAAATATACGCCCACTGGGTGAAGAAAGGTGAAGATCAAAACAGAGCAGCTTTATTTGAGAACACTCCCAAAGTGGACCAGAAAAGAGGAGTGGCACAAAGACGGAACAGGTTTCGTCGATGTTCCCCATCACCGTCATCATCAACATCGACATCATCTGATGTATTTACATACTAAGGTATACCAGTGAGGTTGGGGTCCAATACACCGATTGTTTACCAAGATCTTAAGAGTTATATCACAATACACGTGTGCTGCTAACCACGCTATATCTCTTCACTGCTCTACGTCTCCTCACATTCATTGTCTTGACATTATCATTGTATCATCTTATCTCCGGAGACAACTAACTCGCATCTATTCATGTGTGTTTAGTATCTTGATCGCTTGGTTTTACCACCTGATTCAACAATTTGCACCGCTATACTTAAGTCTTTCTCAAGCACATTGAAACAACATACGTGATTGGTCAAACAAGGGGCAGGTCATCCAGAGTATGTTCATTCCATGCCATGCAGTTCATCTGTAGAGTTCAAGTACTGTGGCTTTCAATCTTCGTGCATATATTGAATCACCGTTTGGACAAGTCTCCATGGTCTCCACTTTTCATTGCTGAAGACTTCAAGATGGTTTATTACAAACTATCTTTGTAATCTTTGTTTGAAGTAATTTTCTGGAATGTTGGTTCCATGATTCACTCTCATATTCAGCTCAATGTCATATATATATCCACTGAAACTCACTGTGCACGTAAAAGTAAAGCTGAGTTTGTTTACTTGACCTTGAAAGATCAACATCCTGGTACTTGCGTGACCTCTTGGTACTCATGCTTGATCCCTAGAGTTCAGGCACGAGTACCAAGATATGTGACCTCTAGGGGTCAGGTATGAGTACCAGGATGTGTGACCTCTAGGGGTCAGGTATGAGTACCAGTATGTGTGACCTCTAGGGGTCAGGCATGAGTACCAGGATTAATGTGAGGGGTGTGTTTCATTTCTTTAAAAATTATATCATCTACTCATAGCATGTTGTACATCCTGTAAATATTCACATGGTAAAAATAATTGGCAGTTTAGAAAAACAATAACAGGAAAGCATTTATTTATTAGCAGAATTAAATCGTATTACTGTATTTGCTCTATCAGAAGATGTTTGGTTTACATGTACATTGTATATACGCTTCTGTTTGAGATGCGCTTCTAATAGAGCAAATATAGTGTAGTCTCCTGTCTGGATCTGTTGCTGATGGTGAAAATAATGGCATGTACTGGCCAAGGGTCAGCCAATGAGATAATTGGACAGGTAATGTTAAAACTATTAAAAGTGATACAGTTATAGCAATGAATACAGTGCTGGGCTTCCATTGACCTTTTGCCAGTCATCAATAGCATATTATATCTTTTTCACCACTAATGTTTAGGACATTATATTAACTATATAATCTGGTTGATAAATCTATAAAAAAAAAATTACAAATCAGCTTAATATTATCTCCCTCATGTAAACGGAGGAGCTTAAAGTGTCTTGTAATTGGCTGGACTACTCTGTACTGGAGCCCAGGCCATATCCAACCCTTTTCGTTAGTGATTGGAGCTGTCAGCAACAGAAATGAACAAAACTGTAGTGATGTACAAGATCTTGGTTCATTGAAGTGTGTTTTTCGCGGCCTGCATTCCACAGTGGTAAATCTTAGAATCTATTTACAACAGATGTGTGGTAGTTGAGAGGTTTTTATTCATCTTCAGTATTTAAAATGTTCAGTAACATTTTCAGGTAAAGTGAAGTATAAAACATGCATTTATGCATACAGGAACATGCTATATTGCAAATACAAGTGATGAGAAGATCTGAAGTCTCGTAGATTATCACTGAATTAATGCTAAACGTCAATCTTGAGCATCATCCAATCAAGATCCAGGAAGTTCGGATGAGATACGACCAGTTTAGTGATGATGTCTATTTCATGTGATTCTAATCAACTACGAAGTCCTCGCAGATGAATCTCACCATTAATTTCCTCAGTCTGTAACAAACATTCTGATTGGTCTTTGAATTGCATAATCAAAGCACTTGTTTCATGCAATCTTTTTATCTTTACCCATTTGCCCCGATTTGTATATAGTTTGTAATGTTGTGTTGCACAAAAATGATGACACTTGCCTTGAAATGGGCTGACAAAGCCCAAGGTTATTATATATCTTCTAATTCCAGTTTTCTTTCAAAATTTGTGAAAGAATTGCTAAAAATTGGCAAATAGTTTCATAAAAATGACCGAGATTTGCTGAGCTTTAAACAAATGGAGCATCAAAATTTATTTTTGCGTGCCACTACATTCTAATTTTTGGGTGATTTCTGCATGTAATTGTTACAGAGGTGAGGTACTTTATTTCACCTCTGTGTTTATTTATTAAGTTAAGGATGAGATGCATCATCTTGTGTACTTTGTGGTTAAAAATCAATCTTTGCAAAGACTACACTTTTAAGTTACACACTCAGATTGTGATTCTAGGTTTCCTGATAATTGATAGTCTGAATATGTAAGATGTATTTCATTAAAGGTTGGCAGTCGTCGCGCCGCGTCCTGTTTGATATGGGACTCATATCGACGTATACATATGTAAAATACATTGTTTGTTGACATGAAATTCGAACACACACTGACCCTTTAAATATTTAAATTCCAGCAACACCAAATGTTGGCGGTCGTTTTGACTTCCCATTTAATAGTGGATTGTGTTCCAACATATCATTCAAAAAAAAACAAGGTGGATCCTTAAATAGTTAGCACAATTCACACATATTCATCTCATGAAATATTTCCAATAAATCAGTAGCATCTTGTTGCAAATTCTACATACCGGGTATTAATAAAATGATAATTTGAAGTTCACACATTGACTAGGAATATATTTGGACTTGTTTTGACTATTGAGTAAAGCCTGCCCTCTAGCCTTTTCATCACCAGAGTTTCTCCCCAAATGTTTCTGCATTTTTTCTTGCATTCTTCAATATTTCTAAAAACAAACAATTTGGGTAAAAAATGAGCTATATTTATCCTAATCTTCCGAAGGAAAGTGCAGACTATAAACAGAAATATTTTATGACTGTGTGATGAAAAGACGGAACTGGTGGTGAACAGGCTTAGAGACTGTGTGTGCTAAAAGATATAGGAATTTCTGCATTCTGTTTACTGTGCATAACTTTTGACAAAACATAGCAACTGCTGTTACAGCTATTACACCATTTGAATGCCGTAGTTTCAATGCATTATTTTGCACAATTTTAGTATTTTTCTAGAATTTATTTGTTAATTTTGGACCAAAATTGACATAATTTTCCATTGGCTACAGGTCTTGATAACAATTTTTTGAAAATATGAAAAAAATTATGCAGCCTTTATTTTGTGAAATTTGCCACAACTTGACCTTGGCATTCAAATGGTTATGAACCATAGTGTGAGTATAAGACAAAAAGTTAAACAAGCCAATATCTGTATAATATCAACAGAGGTTCAATTTAAAATAGTTCCAAATTTCTTGCCTGATTGTTTTGAAAGTTTTCCAGGATTTCTGTGGATCTTTTAAAAAGTCATAACAAATTTTATTTTTATGTTTTTAAGACCTTGAAAATCTTGGGGAATAATTTTGTTTTTTTTAATTGCAGTTGTTCTAAAATGTGAGGAATGCCATGATTGTGCATTAGTGACATGCTGTCTGTCGACTCCAGCATGGAGCTTGACTTTTCTGAGTGTAGATGTCTTTACAAACATAGGTCTTATCTTGAAACCTGTCGGAATCCTGTTTCAGATAATTTTGACTTAGGACCAGGATTTAGGATATCCTAAGCATTACTATTACTATTATTTAATTTATGCAAAAATAGTTCAATTTGATTGG